AATTAACAAGCGGACGAATAACGAGACGACGCGCCACGCTGGTCAGCTTTTTTTATTTTTCAAAGCTTCCTTCCTTCCTTCCTTCCTTCCTTCCTTCCTTCCTTCGTTCTTTTATTTCTTTATTTCTATCTTTTTTTCATTTCATTTCATTTGATTTTATTTGATTTTATTCTATTTTATTATTTATATTTTGTTGTCTTTCACCTTTCCATCATAATCAATTCTGCATACGGTCTTGACGAAAAATAAACTTCGTTTAAAAGAGAGATAAAAGGGTTCGGCGGGAGAGATGGTTTGGAGGAATATAAGTTGCGGTTTTAGTAATTAAGTATTTTTCCTTTCTTGATTCGCAAGGTAGAAGAAAGTTGATTACGCATGTCGTCGTACGGTTGGCAAGATACGCTTTGCTATAGTTACTTAGAATACGTTCAAGATAAACAGAGAGAAAGTGATAGATAGATAGAGAGAGGGAGAAATAAAACGAGAAAAAGAATGAGATCGTTATTATTATTTGAATAAATTTTTCGCATTTGCTATTTAATCGCATTTTTAATCATTTTGATTGTTATTATTTCAGGAGTGGAACGATTATAAGTTGAAGTGGAATCCGGATGACTATGGCGGCGTCGAAACCCTTCATGTACCATCGGAACACATATGGCTGCCTGACATTGTACTTTACAATAAGTGAGTAGGTTTTCTCTTTGTCATATTTTGTTTTATTTTAACGTTTAGAATAAAAAAAAAAAAAAGAAAAAAACATGGGTGCAAAAAAAAACACACCGCAAGAAAGTTAGATTGACATTTTTTGTCATCTATGTTCATTCGATTAGTTTTATTTCAGGACAGAGTTGAGAATCGTTATTTTAGTTAAATGTATACCTGTTGACGATGGCACACAAGTAAAGGATCCAGAAGTACTGGTTTGGTATATAAATTTGGTGCAAAAATTGCTGACCCATATAAACTCGTGTGGAGTAGATAGGAAGAGAGGCGGCTACCTTGGTGATTTTGTTTTGGCTACGAGGCATGTTGCACCTCTCGTCGCGACGAGAGTCGAGTGGTGCTGGACATTTAAACTACTGACCTACATAATTTCTATATTATACCAAGTCTATGGTTTCTCGACGGAAAAATAAAATTGCTTCTTCGTGAAAAAGAGAGAAAGGACGTTGGCTTGGTTCGATACTAGGAACCATCTTCTTACTTACCTAAATGTAGCTCCAGATAAAAAGGAATTACTCGAGTGTACACGCGAGATATCATTTATAATATATATATATATATATATATATATATATATATATATATATATATATTCAGGTCAGAGACATTACTTTTCATAAGTTTAAGTATATAACGTAGGAGTTTAAAACACGATTTAGGATCGAATTTTACATCGAGTTGTTCATTTTTTTGTTCTTTCTTTCTTAAATTACAAGTAAAAGTGTCATCGTTCGTTATCAGAGAAAAAACGAGAGAGAGAGAGAGAGAGAAAGAATTCCAACGACGACGATTCTTTCTTGGACTTTAAACGAAGAATATTCAAGAGTGAGGGAGAAAGAAAGAGAGTGGTCTACGTGGGTCATAAAGTTTGAGAAAATATTCCTCGGAGGAATGGTTACACTTGAGCGCGTTTCTTACGGCCATTTTGAAAATCCACGGCACGGAAAAGAGAGGGAGAGAGAGAGAGAGAGAGAGAGGAAGAGAGAGAGGCTTCTCTTATTTTTCACACACGTATCTCTCACATATCCACTTTCCTCAACGAAATAGGATGCATTTTGCCTCGTGTACTTTCGCCTACCCACATATATGTGTATGCGTATATGAAAGAGAGAGAGAGAGAGAGGGAAGAGTAAGTAGATAGATAGATATATAAGATAGATAGAAAGATAGAGAGAAGGTTAAGTTGAGACCATTTTAGAGTCTCTCGCTCGTTTGGCAAGGATGGCTTTTACTCTGGTCCATCCTTTTCCTTCTAGTATTCACGATTCCTTATTTTTATCATCTACTTTCCCTTTCCCCTCAAACCCTCTCTCTCCTCCTCTCTCTCCCAGAGATCTTGGCTGTAGCCACGAATTTACAAACGAGAAGACTTTGCCAGTGGTAGTTTTTTTGAATTTTAGAATCACGAGATCAAAGAACATCCGATTTGTATATTCCGTTTCTCGAATATTAGTAAATCAGAARTCTGTCGAGGATAAATATATAAATAAATAATCAATGGAGGATAGTTCTATTTTTTGTAGTAATTTATTTTTTTTATACTATCTTTTCAAAGGGAATATTTGATAAGAACTTGGAAAGAGAAAGAGAGAGAGAGAGAGAGTATTTTTTGGAAAGCAGGATATGTTTGTTTTTGAAAGGTTTTAATTTCAATATATATATATATATATATATATATATATATATATATATTTCGATACTCGTAGACGTTTAATGAACTACGAATATATTAATAATTGGTGAATATTCATAGTTATATACGTGTGCGTGTGTGTGTGTGTGTGTGTGTGTATGTGACGGAAGACTTTCTGTTGGACAATAGATAGATGTAGTAATATTCCATGAATGTATAATTGATGGTTGCATATCGATGTGTATACGATAGGAATGTTGAGTTACATATATATATATATATTTATAAATATTCATGATTAAACCTTGCCACGATGGGAGGTGCTATCATACTATATTACATTTGAGAATGCATCCTCGTGTGCTCGCGCTTTCATTTCCCAAATAATTGATCGGCACAGAAACGGTGAGAATCGCGTGATCGTTTCGTAAGGGATATTTTATCAGTTTATACCTCGCATATGTTATATACTATAAATATTAATATCTTTTTTAATCGTGGCAAAAAAACAACATCAACAAAAATCGGTTAATTCGGTGGTATCCGAAAGTTATTCGATTCTCAAAGCTCTTTATGTCGAATTTTAACCTAGTTCGCTTTTTTAAATCGCTAAATTAAATTGGACAATCAACCACCCTTATTTCCTTTTTGGTATTGATTTTTGCGTGATAATCAGATTTTGTCAGACTGCTTAATCACACTTCGAATCACTGGTCTAATTTATTTTCACACAAAATTATCATTTAAAATTATTAATATACATTATATACTCTCAAACAAAGTTTGCTTTAATTTTATTTGCGGTTTTGTTAATTCAAATAAAACATTTTAACTCTTGATCTTTCTCTCTCTCTCTCTCTCTCTCTCTCTCTCCTGAGTGGAAATTGCTCCTTCTCCTTTTTCCTTTTTTTTATTTTTATAATTTTTCTTTACTTTCTTCCTTCCATCAGCCCGTTTCTGCAAGAAAAAAAAAAAAGAAAAAAAAAGAGGAAAAGCCCAACTCGAAATCATCTCGAGGAAATCGTTTTTGCTACGTGCGAAATGAAAAGGGAGTTAAGTGTACCCAAGTAACCATCCATCCACGTGTGTACGTAAAAATACTTACATATTACATATATGAACACTTATACGTTCCACTGCGTACGTGTTAGTGTATATATGTGCAAGTATGTATGCGTTAACGTGCAAGGACGAGAGACTAATGCGCCCTCGAGGAAATCCTTTCGTGTTTTACACGTAAGTAGACATTGGTCGTCCTAGCGTGGCTAATGTCATGGCAAACACGAAAAGTGTTTCGGAAATATTCGTTGACGGTTTGCGAACATCTCTCTGTCGAGAATGACGTTTTCGAATGTCTCTCTCTCTCTCTCTCTCTCTCTCTCTTTTTCTCTCTCTCTTTCGTAATCCGTTGGGTAAATATCCTTTTCCGAGTTTCGAGTTGTAGTTTTAAAGTAATTCAAGAGAGACACAGAAAAAGGGTAGGGGATAAGAAATAGGGGGAATAGGAAGTAGGAGAAGGATAAAAAAGATTGAAATAGGGGTAGGGTTGAGGCTACGAATCCCATACGTTTCATTAAATGTTTCATTTGCACTCGTTAATTCACGCTTGGGAAATTTAACGTTGTCGTTCTGTTTCTTTTTCTGTTTCTACCACTCCCACTTGTTTGTATTTAATCGTTTTTAACACTTAGCGTTTAATATTAAAACAAGAACGAGAGAAAAACTGTCTTGGCGTTTACTTTGTCAAAGAGACAATTTTATCAAACTCTTCCAAAGGAAGGTGGAAAAAGGTGGATGTGTTTAAAACGATTTTTCGTTCAACGTTTTTATTTCTGTTTTTTTTTTTTTCTTTTTTTTGAAAGAAGATTCTTGACAAAGAGAAAGAACGAGGAGAGAAAGAGAGGGAGAGATTTGGAGAACAAATCCGTATAAGAGAAAAATAAAAGTTAAACAAAAGAAAACGAATGGATATTGCGAGAGTAGGTAGGTCGTATCGATTTTCTTTGAAAAACGAGTATAGAAAAAGAATTTACGTTGATGGGATCATTTTATTTCGATGTAAGAAGAAGATTATCGAAATCGTATCTTCCAAAAGTATTTGATTTTGGTATGTATAGACATCGTTTATATTATTTTTTTATATTAAAATAAGCATTCAATTATGTTGGTTAATTCTTAAAATGATGAATCATTTAAAAACGTATTAGATGGTAAGAAATAATTTGGCAATATTCATTAGAAATTTAAATCGTCATTAATTATTAAATATCGTTTATATCGAAAAGATAATATAAAATGTTGATGAGAGATACGATTGAAACGGTCGATACGCATTTGCCAACTCTGCATTCTAATTTTATTATCCATGTATATGTAGAGATGATCGTATATATATATATATATGAGTATACTAACATGCATACGTTGTATACAATATATATTGTATATGCACATACGTGTCTCTCTTTCTCTCTCTTTCTCTCTCTTTCTCTCTCTTTCTCTCTGTCGTAACTCTCATTGTATCGACCGTAAAGTGTAATATTCGTCGAAACGATGCCGTGCATTCCTTTATGGCGCATAAATTACCAACCCTTCCTAATTTTGCATGCACCTAAAATTAATCGAACCGAGTCTGGCATACCGTGTTTCTCTTCGGTCTCTCGCCCACGCCACTTTCATTTCGGTAGCAGTCGTCTTGCTCGCTTGCTCGCTTACTCCCATACACATTTACACTTACGTAGGTATACGTATATTATCTTTCTCTGTCTTTGTATCTCTTAGGATGCATTATAGATACTTCGAAGCGTATTGTTTCATCGTTAATTAGCGCCGTAATAATATCGAGAATGCTTTTAAACGTTACTCGACAAAAGGTATTCCAAAGTGTAATCGAGAATGCAATTATCTGTCGGTCTAGGTATAAACGTTACCAGCGAATAAGAAGAAACCTGCTATACTGATATCGTTAAAGAACGTGCAGGCAGCAATGGTCACGTGTACAACTCGCTCGCACATCTCATCTAATTCACCTCTTTGATGTATGTTATGCCATGTATAACAAGCCAGCTAAAACGAGTAGTAATTTAAACTTCGCGGCCATCCGTGCATGAGACAAAAAGAAAATGAGGCTGGCATGGTATGTAGGAAAGAAAGAAAAAAACACACACACACAGAGAGAGAGAGAGATAGAAGATAACGAATTTTATGAAGAGTAAAGTAACTTTGACGTAAACCTTTACGCTATGAATATTAAGCTAAACATTTTTCAATTAATCTCCGTGATTAGAAATCAGTTTTCCTTTTAATTAGATTAGATCAAGAAAAAGAGAGAGGCAAGATTGCTGATTAAAAGCATCACTTTTTTGTAATAGGATAGCATCCAAATATTTTCCCTGCCTTTATCTTTTTGTCCCGTTTTCTATTTCTCCCCGATTTCTCTTTGCATTTCTATATA